TGTGTGTGTGTGTGTGTGTGTGTGTGTGTGTGTGTGTGTGTGTGTGTTAGTGTGTGTGTGTGAGTGACGGAGAGGGGCTCAGGGTGCTGGTGCAGGTACTGGGGTGACAACAACAGCAGTACAAAATGAAAGTCTATCAGACTGCTTTCAGGTCTGGCTGCACATCAAAGGGGCTGGTTTCATGCACCGCTAGGACAGGCTGAGTCTAAAAGGGCTAACTCCAACCGCTACGCACAAGTAACACTTGTTTTCCGATTTTCGCAGTCGACTCATACTGCTCCATCTGTTTGATGCTGTAAAGGGCTGATGCTGGAAAATCCAAATCTGCATTGCACTTTCTGACCTCTGTTGTAGACACTACTTCACGTACAGTAGGTGTAGTTACGTTTCTTGACTGGTTCGCGATGCCTTTCCATCATATTTTCCTGAGGTTTTTAGGAATATTCTTGTATGTACAAAGTCACATAAAACCAGTCCAAAGTCGACTTGCATGTGCCTGCTAGAGAAGAAGGCTTTTTTTTTTTTCTGCAGCTAACCATGTTCATAACGCATGTCAGACCCTGTGGTTTACCCTCATTAAATTATCTTGGCCCATCTCACAGCTGAAGTGCATCGTGCCACCATTTCCAGTTAAACCTTGCTTCCATCTCAAGCCTTCGAAACCCAATCTGGTGCTTTTCATAAAAGAGAAAGCGGTGCACTTCTGAAATTATAGTCATTTCTAAATGTTTTCAGTCATTGTTCTGCAACATTATTATCAGTCAAACATTTACGATACAGTACTTTCCGCCTGGCATGCGACTGGAAATGCTGTGGTGAGTTTTGGTCAGAGGAGGAGTTATTCTCTGTCTTTTGGAGTGGCAGCTAGTTTGCGAGCTTTGCTTTGCTTTCTGGTGCCAGCTGCAGCACTTCAGTGGGCTGAGTGCTCAGAGTGCATGTTGAAAGCTCCCAGAGGGCGACGCTGTGAATATATGAATGGGATGCCTACCGGTCTCGGCTTTTCTGAATGATCCAGATTAGTGCCACATTGTGCTGTAAAAGTAAAAAGCATGCTGTAAAAGTAACGACGTCCAATCAGCAGATTGTCTACAGCTGGTCAAATCTGACGGCATGCTGTATTTCAACATTGCTTGCAGGATTTTGTAAAATTTTAATGTCATTAGCATTTCTTTGGTTGAACCGCCCTTGCATTACAGGGGGCAATTTTGAAAGTACTTTATTTAATAATTGAATAAAAGAGGTTTATTAGCTGGTAGGTGAAGCTTCTCCATCATTTCCTGAAAGACTGTGACGGTGTCCGTGTAAAGAAAGGAATCTCAGACATTTTCCCGCAGTTGCTTTCTGAAGAAGGTCAGTGAGGAGGAGGAGCAGCAGTTCGTGTTTCTTTGTGTGTTGAGCACTGCATGGCACGTCCAGGCACCTGTGGAATGCTCACAACCATTTAGCGTAAATATCCACGCTAGTTAACCGTTGTTTGACAGTCCGTATACACCTCGCTTGGGAGTCTGTAAGCATCGTCGTAACCTTTTGGGCTGTGGTTGCAGCGCGGTTGAGTTCATCTGTGGACAAAAGCTCTCCTCATACGGGCTGCATGAGGGCGAAAGTAGTGAAAGTAGATGATGGAGGGAAAACTTTGCAGCAGAAGGGAGAGCAGGCACACAGATGGCCCAAGGTTTTTGTCACGATGCCGACCTTTAGTTGTCATGAAGTGAGCAGCTAGTTTTGTTTACACATAAATTAATGATGTCATTATTTTGGTAGTAGTCACGATCTACCACCCAGATCCATTTATGCATATTTTAAATGCTTTAAATATGCATTTTAAGAAGTTGTTTTATTTACTTAAGCGACAAACAAACTTAAACTCTGACTTTTTTTTTTGCATTTTCTGTTCTTGTGAAGACGGCTCGTTTAGCCGCTAGTGGCTCTTTATTGTTAGTGTCTGGTGGCCATGTTTTCATTAAAAATAGTAAATAAGGTGTCAAGATTTCTATCTAGAGCCCTGACCACTGACAGCGATGCAGCAAACCAGTTGCACCAGTCAGATTGCTCCGTGCCCCAAAAAGCAACGTCCCGACCTGACGACCACAGAACAAAACAAGATATGGGGTTGGACCAACAGTTGTAGAATAAGTGGCAGCTTCATTGAAATTGCTCATTTCCCGTGTTTCTTTCTGCTTCTTTCTCCACCCCCGCTCGATCCACAGGGGAAGGCATCACTCTGAGGGAACGAGAATGGGGGGAGAGAGAGAGAGAGACAAACAAACAGAGGGAGAGACTGAGTGGCAAACATGGAGGAGTTGTGACACAGCTGAAAAGGGGGGAGAGCGCGAGAGAGAAAGAAACAGCTGTATTGAGAGTGATTATGAGAGGGAAGCTGTGGCCAAGTCTGGCTCTCCTCTCTGTTTGACTGACACTAGATGGCAACGTTTGGCTTTTCATCTTCTCTCTCTCGCCTCCCCTCATCTCCTATCTGTTATTGACTCCTTGTTGCTTAACAATAGACCCTCCGGGGTTGTGTGTATAAATGTGACTGTTTGTCTATGTGGCTAGGCTGAGGGGTGGTGGTGGAGAGGGGTACAGGAAAAGAGGGGGTGAAAACCCCCAGGATCCCCCTCATCCTCCCGATCATGCTCTCCACATGTTCCGACCCCGGCTCTCTGGAGCTGGAGGTGCTGAATCAGGTGGTCGGGCCGAGGGGGAAATCTTGCTTATCTGTCTTGAATTTTATTATTTTTCAAACTGTATGGATCATGAAGGCTCCCACTCTCCTTCCCTCCCTCCTTCCTTCACACGGGCTTTCCTCA